GTCCAGGGCATCCTGGACCTCATGTAAGATGTCCAGGTGTTGAGGAGCCAGGTGAATTAGTTCTGAAGACTGTTTCCCTACTAGCAACTGAAACAGTGGTCTTAAAGTCTCAGTGGGAATAGGCATCCAGGCTCATAGCCAATTAATTTCTCCTAATAATTTTTGTAGCTCTGTCAGGGTTACGGTGGGCTTGACAGCCAGTTGTGGTTTTAAAGGGCTTACTCCTTCCAAAGAGAGTGTGGCTCCCAGAATTTTAAAGGGAGCAATGGTCTGTATTTTATCAGCGGATACATGGAGTCTGCCTGTCTGTAGGCATTTCTGAGTAATCTTATATAACTTGTTGGAGGCTTGGAGCTCCCAAGATTATATCATCCATATAAACGTACACAGTGACATGTGGCAACAAGTAAGCAGGGCCCAAAAGGGTCTTCACATAGCTTTGGCAGAATGCTGGGCTACTGGCCTTACCTTGGGGTAAAACAGTCCATTCATACCTCTCATCAGGTGTTTTGAAGTTGATGGAACGCACAGAGAAAGCAAATTTTTCACAATCTTGGGTTGTAAAGGGATAGAAAAAAAAAAACAACAATCTTCAATGTCTATAACTATAAGAAAGAAATCTGAGGGAATAGTAGGGATCCAAGGCAGCCCCCTTAAGGGTGTACCCACTAGGGTACTAGCATTGACTTTATGCAGCATTCTCCATTTGCCAGAGGGTTTCTTAATAACAAAAACAGGTGTATTCCATATAGAAGGCCGGATGTGGCCCAACTGTAATTGTTCCTGCACAATTTCCTTTAAAGCCTGTAGCTTTGTCTCAAGCAATGGCCACTGCTCCACCCATACCAGCGCCCCAGGGGACCACCGGATAGCTGGAATCTGAGGGGCAGTGGCCCCTAGAATTGGGGGTGAACCCGATACTCTTTCTTTGGGTCCCCCCTGTAATTGATATGGCGAGATCCATCTTGAGCCTTACACCAGGGATAATAGGGACTGTCCAATTTGCCATAGGTTTTTCTCCTCTCCTGATCCCTCCAATCAGACGCAACGGGGAGTCTAGTCAAGCAGGAACTCATTTATTGCAGGCGTTACAGAGCTTATAAAGGCATCTGGAAATCCCCCTCCCCCGTGAGGGTGTATCTTAAGGATGATCACGTGCTGATCATCACTCCTCAGCAGTGTGGAAGTATCCGCCAGACTTTCAAAACAAGTCAGGCCGCACCCCAGTAACTTCCTCTCGGCGCCACCTTGGCAAGATGAGGCCTTTTGGTCCCCACAAGGTAGGATGGGGGAGATGGAGGAGATGGAGAAAAATGGAGGGGAGTGCTAGTCAAAACTAGGACACAGAAAAAATAAGGAAATCTGATACTTGGTAATCTAATTTAAAAAATACAAATAAAAGAATTCGAATGGCATATAAAAGCTGCTTTCAGGAAACATAGATCATTAAATGAAAATCCCAGTGCCAAGGGTGGGCTACTTCCCTACAAGGTGTTCGTCAAGGAGGCTGCCAAGGCCTCCCAAACGATACAGCAATCGTTACTCCCACTGGTTACCCACCAGAACTAAATGGTAAGACCCTATTGTGGAACACAATAGACATTCTGGTCACAGGCCATGAAGAAATTAAACTGGAACTGAGCTGGGGTGCTTCTTCTGCTATGTGGGCTAGCCTGGCATGTGCTATGATGGCATGCCGCTGCAGAATTGCTATCAATGGTCTTACTCAGCTGCAGACTCTGTATATTACACTACAGACTCACTATGCAAGATAGAGGCAATCCTGTTACTGTAGTAACCAGCTGCTTTCTGCATAGAATTGCTGCCCACTCCTCAGGAATTCACGTCTGGTCCCCTAAAACCTAGCCAAAAGCCTTTGCTGGGGAAGTCATAGGCTCTAGTGGGGGGAGTTATAAACATATGCCTGTTAGATTGCCATCTAAGTATTATGTTTATTCCCATAACTGATTGCTCTGGTCAACTTTGGTCAGAGAAGCTTCTTTCTGCAGTAGTTATCAGTAACTGCTGAGATTCAAAACTGGTTGAATTGCTGCAAGTGACCACTGAATGCCCAGCTATAAATAGGACATCTACATCACTCCCTCAAGGCTCAGAGAATATCATGAATAGAAAAGAGCTGGAGCATTGTGGAAGGCATCATGGTCACAGCAATTTGTGGCATTTTCATTACTAATCACTGTAGGAAACAATCTACATTAGATCTACTTTCAAACTACTTAAAATCCCTCTTGAATTTAAGTAGGCTAATTAAATGAACACATTAAATGAGATATGTAATCTATCATCAGGTATTGGATTATGCAAAATTATTCAAACATTTAAAATTCATTAGAAAACCAACATACACAATTTAAAGAGAAAAAAATTTATTGTGATATAAAATGCACTTATAAAATGTCTGCAGAAGACATGGAAAATTTCACTGCTATATAAATTTATTGGGAATGTTATTCACACCTCATGTCACCTAAAACATACTGTAAACAATGAGTTATACTCTAAAACAAACGCATAAATTGATTCTCAGCAATCACTGGTTTAATAGTTAGAAGATGATATAATCACATCTGTATTCTGGAATGCCCACTTCATGTAGTGTAATAGAACGTAGAGTTAACTGTGCACGGCTGTACAGAACATCCACTGACATGTGTGTACCACCATGACAGGTAACAGTCCCTCTGCTTGAGAATGACAGCGTCCGTCATGTCTGCAGCACAGCTTCAGGGTTTTTTAATGCAGAAACCTGTGGGGATGTATCCACTGTGCACCCATGGGACAACTTTAAGTGTACCTTAGTAAACAAGTGCAATAGTACTCTCAACTATTTTGCATATTTAAATAGTATAGTCTAATTATTCGTAAACAAACAAAACACACAAATACTCAACTCTATTTTTTAAAAATCTGTCAACTCATAATTCCTCTCACATGGTTCATGGGAACACACCGAGTTTCTGAAAGGTGCATGTATTATCTTCCATGAGGCCTAGCAATGAGTGCTTCTCATTTCACACCATGAAATGTGCATTTCTGACATTTGTTTCATGCAGCATGAAGTTTAGCTCAAGGAATTCCAAACCCTGGACACCCAGTTACGGCTCTGCAGCAGCTTCTACAGATTAAACACAAAGTGTTCTAGCTCTCACTATTTCAAGTATCAAAGAAATCTGAGGCTCAAAAATTTCTAGGTTGTAACTGAAAATATAAAGCTTCTGAAAACATTTAAATGTGTTCTGAAAGAAGTTACTTGTTGAAATAAGATCCTTAAGCGAAGTGTTTACCTGTGTTAGCAAGTAGGAACGGAGAATAATCGTAAACCTGAACTCTTGCTCCACAGTAATGAAGGTGGTTTGCTTATAGACATGTAGTTTTGGGGAAGAAAAACTTTAAAACTTAACATTTTTTACTTTAGTTCTGTCTCCTTTTAAATGATATTGAAATTATGAATATTTGGCTTCACAGCACTTACAATGAAATAATTTACTTTGGAAATATATATCTTTTAAAGCACTGGAAAGAGACTATACCAAAGGCTAAACTTGAGTCTTTCAGTGCGGTCAGAAATCCCGCAGCATCTGGTACCTTGAAGGTTTCAGAGTGGCCTGATTTTTCTGAAATTTTAATGCCATTACAAAACAAAAGGTCAGACAGAAGACACTGCTGCCATAAAGCAGTTTCACAAAGTCGCAGATAAGACCCCAGCCCAACAGAACAGCTCTCAGAGTAGGCAACTTCCCACCTTTGCCCAGGCACACCATACTCTCGGCTTAGAAAGGAATCTAACCTGGTCCTTAACATTTCATCAAGCTGTGTGAATATTTTAAGAATTTTCCACTTCCCTTTTAAAAAAATCCAGATGCCTCACTAAAGAGTACTAAGAAAATGTTCTACTTTAAGACATTAGACTTCCCGGAACCAGCCCACCTATAGAAAATTTTTAAGAATTATGTGAAAGTGTGGAATCAACACACTATGAAAACAGTGTGACATAAGTAACTAAACATTACTTATGTTGAAACCTTGCCTAGCTTTAAGCAGAAATAGAAATCATGAATCTTCTATAGCATTGATTTTAAAAATACACTGAAGTGAAAAGTGCCGTTTTTCAAAAAGTACAATTTTCCTCCCAACTATGTATCAACATGGAATGATTTCAGTTCTCTTGTACTAAAAGCTGGAGTTTTACAAAACTATATTGCAACATTTACTATGCCATCGTTTATTTTAGTCAGTAGTAGCTTCTGCTTCAGCGGGACCCCTAATGAGTCTTCGAATTCCTCTTTTTCCTGCAGGACCTTTTGGTTTTGCAAAACTTTGCTTATGTGCATGCTGCTTGGGATGCACTTCCTCATAAAGGAAGTCTGCAGTCAATTCATCCCCATTGTCTATCTCAATCTGTAAAAGAGGAAGCCAGTGTGACACAGGATAAAAACAGGTAGCATTCAAAACCTCAGCTAAGCCACAAGCCAGTTCTCGGGTAAAGTGCTCACAAGGAGGTGCTCGAAGCATAGTCCAGCAAGAGAAAATCAAGGACTGTGTGTTAGCCCTGCCCCTTTCATCCCTCGCAGGGAGATGCTAAGGGCACTGTTTAAACACGTAACTGGCATATGTATAGCACCTTCGAATTTGCTGCCCCTCACTGCTCTTGTTTAAGTAATGAGTGTAAGCAGAAGCTAGTATTATTTTCTCAATACCAGATACTCTAGACACATTCAGAGCTTTATACACTCAAGACACATTACTCATAGCTCGTTCAGCTGCTGGGTCTCTTGGAATTACTCTAGAACAGGCGTAGGCCAACTATGGCCTACAGATCAAATCTAACCCAACTTAAGACCATTTCTCATTTAAGGGGATGTGAAAACAACAAAAACCTGTGAAAGAGACCCAAGTTGGCTGGGCAAAGCTTAAAATCTTTGTTATCTAATGCTCTGCAGAAACTCTGCTGACCTTTCCTGGAAAGTGCCAGTCATGCAAGCGATTCACAGGATCTAAAACTGCTCCAGGCTCCACACCTAAGCACTCGTAGTTTGTAAGGAGCTGTATTTTAAGAGCTAAAAGACTCATCTGTCCTTATGCCCTACGTGCATTTAAGAAAATTGGCAGCTTAGTTTAAAGCACCTTCTGCCTATTCCCTCCTCTGCAGTAACTGGAAGGACTCACAGGCATAAACCGAGACTACAGCTCCTTGTTAAGACCAGAAGTAGCCAGAGACCTAACAGCGCCATCCAACAGAGCTTCTAACTATAGAAATGTTCTGTAAATGTTGTACCTCTTTAACGCTGCACATGGCTAACAAGCATCCCCAAAGTGCTACTGTGATTAGGAAACTGAATTTTAAATTTTATTTATGTTTATACTTAAATAGTTGCATGTGCTTGTAGTACAGATCTATATAGATGGGGTAACAGACCATCCCTAGGTTCTCAGAGCAGATCCTAAGGACTAGAATAATAAAACGAAATATATTTCCATTTATAAACCACAGTACATGGAAATGCATTACACTGTGCCAAATGGAAATGACCAGGAGAAAAAAAATCCAGAAAACCTTGAAAATTTTAAAACAGTGAAACCCACCTTTCTGATTATGTTCATCTGTAATTGTCTTTCTACAATTTCTAGCAGAGGGCTCTTGCAACTCGAATACAGCATCCGTTCTCTTATACTGCATGTGTACCCAGGCATTGAATAAATGAAAACTGTAAGTCGAAAGAATAACAATTAGAGGCATCAACTAGCAAATACATAAACCTTACAAAACTCCAACTAATCCCCCTGGTTAAGAAGTATGTTAGAACAGGGTGCTGAAATTGGGTCAGTCTCTGAAGGCAGGCGTGGGAGGCAGTGTGGCACATACCTACGGACTCTAAGTAGTCTCCTTCATGGGAGTGTTTATACAAGAAGAAATGGTAACGTGCTGAATCCTTGGGAATCCTCTTTGGCAAATCTTTGAGTTCTGTATTTGTTGTGTTGGCCAAAATTATTACTTCATTTTTTATATCTATTTCCTATAAAAAAGTAACAACATATTCATTAAAACTGATAAAACAGAAATTAAGAATTTAAGAGAAAAACAACTAGGAGAGAAGGGCACGGCTGTGAATTATTGGACTCTCATACACCTATAGTACTTTGTGATTAAAGATGAATAAAAAACCAAGCAGCAAATTAAAAATTTAAAGTTCATTCAAAACAGGAGTTATATAGGCCGTAAGCCACCACAAAGAGCAGCCGCTATTACCATTAGTGCTCTTACCAACTGCACGTAGTTGAGCCGTTTCTTACTCAGTTTTTCCAAAGCCTGGAAAGCATCTTGAGAAATAGGAAATGCTACTCCTTGTAGTGTCTGATGCTTAGTGTCCACACCCACGTCAGTCTGTACCTGAGTATGATAGATATCGTTTACTGGTAAAGCTTTAGTACTTAGCAGTGTCCTACAGCAAAAAGAAGAAAGCCCAACTTGTACAAAATAGTAAGCCTCATTGGTCCCTTTCCCAAGCATAATTCAAATACCTAAAGCATTGTGAATGTAAAAGGCAAACCATGCCTCACATCTCTTCGGTCTTGCTAGTACTCTGTCAACATGCCGAGTGCACGACACACTGTTAGGTCATCTCGGGAGTGACACTTGAGTGTGCAGTTTTAGTGAGGCTTTGGAGGTTTTGTCAGCTCAGACAGAATTTCAGTGAGCCTCAGTAGCTTTTTGAAAGTGTCATCAGATAATGGACACCATGCACTGAACTGAAAGGAGTACAAACAGTGCGCAGACACAGCCCAGCCCAACAAGCTACACCACTGTGCAAGTCCAAGATTTGAGCCTTCTCCACTAACAACAGGGTGTGTGGGTAGAAGAGGAACCTGCAGGAGAGCTTTCAATGTGGATGCCTAAGACTTAGATGTGAGCCTCTGGTTCTGATTGCAAGTGCATACCCCAACATGAGCCTCTGGGTTCTGATTGCAAGGGATAAAACAAACTATCAAATTCATAAAAAAAGACCACAGAAACAGACCTACTCAAATAACTTGAGTTTAAAATATGATAGGTCCTTGCTATGATCTCAATATTAAAAAGACAATGAACCATTTTCCAGACGGATTTCAGCCTTGTATGAATAGTGAGCAGTGTATTTTGGCTACCTGCTCTTCTCTGAAAAGATTCTGTAGAAATACAGAGTTACACTAACATTCAACAAAATGGCTGCAGAAGCATCTTTCAAAACATGATGAACTACAATATGTCTGAGAGCCTACTGGCCCCACAATGCGTCCATACATATCTCTATACAAATTCATAGAAAATAGCTTTTAGAATTCTTAAGATTTAAATTTTATTGTTTTTAGTAATCACTATTTTCTGAGTAATATTAAAACAAACCTGCTCTAGACAGTCTACTAGGTATAAAATTCTCAAGAAATGGGCAACAACCTTTTCCTGTTTTGGCAGGCACACTGAATTAGAAAGCGACTTATGAAGTTGATATGAACTTTAATACTATCTAGCTTTTTTTTCTGAAAACATATTAAGCACACAGGCCTGTTTCTAAACTAAACAGAAGAAACCTAACCACACTAATATTTCTTATTTTCTTGTTACCTCCATGTTACAAATTAAACATATGGTATTCTGACATACTTAAAATCTTGGAAGCATTTCTGAGTTATAATTTACCTCATTAATTTTAATCTGTCGTAATTCTTCCTCAGCTGCAGTCAGTGGGGCAGGGGAAGACTGAGATAGCAAGTATTTTTTATACCCGAGTAATGATACATCTTCCTGTAAGCAAAGAAATGCATTATTCATTATTTTCCAGAAATATATCCAAGGTGAGGTTACATTAGGAAAGACAGAATTAGTAAGAGAAAGAAATTTAGCAGGAAATAAAGAGCAGTCAGGATTTTACTCTTACTTTTCTCTAATCCTATATTTTGAAGGTTCTAAAACTTTAAAAATTTTATTTTTATTGTATGCCTATGAATGGTTTGTAGTGCTTGAACCGTACCCAGCTCCTCTGCAAGAGTGTCAGTGCTCTTAACCACTGAGCCATCTTTCCAACCCAGGTTCAAAACTTTTACGACAATTATCTACTGTTCCTTCCCCTACATTTTATAAGCTGTGTAAGTTTGGTGCTGTGATGCAGGCCGAATCATGAAGCTGATCAAGCTTCAAACCTGCTGGACAACTGTAATTTACCTTCGGGGAAACTGTCCTGCAGTCATTTTGAATAATATATTCCTGAATTCTATATTAAAATTATTTATATATTATCTGCACATATAAAATATATTTCTATAATAAAAGAAAACAGTATTTCAGACAATTGGAAGAGGCAGCATGCTTCCTACCTGCTAAAGAGTATCGTTTTCTGAACTAGCTGCTTTAAACAAGTAGACCAACTGCTCTACTCCAACTGTCTTAATTTGGAGGATATGGATGTTTTGATACTTTATTCTCAATGTCAAATAGATATAACAAATGAATTCAGAGCTATATATTCACCAGTATTAACTTGCATGTCATGTGAGATGTGACAATGCCCTTCTTATTACAGACTCAGCCTGAATCTGAATTTGAATCAATAATCTACCACCATGAAGTTCTTTCATCATTGTCTGTTTTGAAACATAGAAAACCCACATAAACCTGTAATTTGCACCTTTACTGTTCCAAACACTTCGTCTTTAATGTGGCCACCTCCAAACTCCTTCTTCAGAGTCGCTCTTGTGGCTGCGTACAGCATTTTTTGACGAACCTATTCAATTGTGAAGTTTTAGATGTTAACAGGTGAAAACATACAAGAAAGCACATTCTGATGTATTACAATCTTTAAGTACTTAAAAATAAACTGTAGTAAGGCTGAAGATCACACAAGTGTCTGAACCACTAGAAATTTACCTTCAAAGAATATAGCATAAATTTTTAGAGTAGAAAATGTTGTTAAAAACTCCTAACACAAAATTAAAAAAAAAAACTCAAAGCACAAAATTAGTTCCAAGAATAAAAAACAATACTATTTTAAAATATGAGGAAAAAAAAATAAAGTAACGTTGATAGTGATTTTTTTTTTTAACTCAATGCTAGATCAGTACTATTAAGAACCAAGTATCTGTGACATACTGATGGAATTCACCATTCTTTAAGGAACACAGTGATGAAAAGAAGTGCAATTTATGCTATTATGAAAGTGTCTAGTAGGATCTGTAGTAGCTTTACATATATAACAATCAATTAAGAGAAATCTCACAATTCTAACTGGTGAAATCCATTATTTCTTTCAGACAAAATAATTAAAAATGGAATAATCTTTTGAGACTAAATAGCTTTAAAAACTATTAGCTTTTTATAAGAAGTCTGAGAATCTAAAATATTGGTCAGCATTTATATAGTTATTTCATCTTTTGTTCTATTTAGTCTACTATCAACTCTTATGAATTTGATGTAAGTGATAGTTACTAATGATATAGGATGAGTTTTAACAAAATTTAATATAATGCTCAATTAGTTCTCTGAATTATTATAATTTTCACTTTCAGGACAAGGACTCAGGATGCTACTTTCATTGTTCAAAGACCCATAAAGTCACTTATAATTGCCAAAGCTTTAAAAATTTTAAATCAGTGCTAATGCTTGTGATTCAAGGACAAGGCTTGCAGATCTAATAGCATCACCCTTGATTCTATATCATCAATGAATTTAAGGCTTGTCTTCACACTCACTCACTTCGATGGGAAATGACTACTGCTCCTTAACTTTCATTTAGCTGGAAATATTTCAGGGGAAAAAAATTCTTTCTAGCATTTAATGTTAAACAACAAACAACAACAACAACTCACACTACAAAACTTACTCACAGGAGAATGATCTGGAGACCATGCAATGAATATCCATTCATATCCCTGGGCATTCTGAGAGTCTAACCTGAATAATACATAGCAAGGCTGCTTGTCCTCCAGTAGAGGCAAAACAAAAGAATCGTAATCCTGCTCCCAGGAGTCTGAAGGCTGACTACATGATCCGACCACAAGCTGCTCTATGAGAAGAAAATTTTAAACAGATAAATGGTTTGCAATGGCAAATGACACTGTAATGAATACTAGAAAATAATCTATTTCCCATCAAAAAACTATTTTTCCCATCAAAAAGTTTAAAAGGTGGCAATACATAAAATAATTATAATCTGAGGCACTATTGAGAATAGATATGAAGATTTATGAATACCATATTAAAATATTTTAATGTAAATATATAAATAAGAAATAAACAAAAATAGTAAGTTATTAACTGTTCAAATATTAAATAAGGGCAATTCGATTTCTAGTTCTTAAAATGTCTATGCTGAAAATTTCAACAATATATATAACTGCATTACCACTCAAAACTGTAATTCCTGAAATTAATATTTAATTGTAAAGCAAGAATTTAAAACAAGATTTGGTTCCCACTTGGCAGTGATGCTATAAAATTAAAATTTTGCCCACGAGCATAAACTGGAACTTGGAGCTGCCACTTTTTCAGTGCTATTTAGCAGAACAAACAAAAATTGGGAGTGCAGCCTTCACAGAGAATCACTGCACACATGGAAAGTGCCTCATCGCAACAGTGCAAACCAGAAACCTCCATATTTCCAGAAAGGGAATGAACAAGTACGTGGCCTAGTTAAATGGAAGTATTCTATTGATGTCTTAAAATAATTCATAGGCTTTCTGCCAAAACAAGACTATAAAACAACAAAAACAGGAAAAAAAGAAAAATCCAGGATAATTATATGCAGTTTATATGAGCTTAAAAACTCAAAATAGCACTATGTGCTATGTAGGCATACATGTAAAAGGGGACTGAACATACAGAAAACCCTCTTCTAATTGCAGTCACCGCAGGGGGGAAATCAGAAAGTACAAGCTGTCAGAGGGGATGTTCTTATGTTAGAAAAAAAATAAACTTTTAAAAAGGCTTGACACAAACAGCATAAAGCACTAAGTTATTAGAAGGGAAGGCACGTATTAATTTATTCTTTGGAATTTCCTAATTCAACATTTATTCAAAATAAAAAAGCTGGAAAATATTTATGAAACAGACCTTTGCATCTGAAGAAGTGCTGAGTAGATACTTTAACTTCCCATTTTGTTTACTTAGCTAGTCACTTAGGAAGTAATGACACTCAAAATTTTAGGTTTTAAAGCATACATTTGTTCCCAGTGATATTGTGACACAAGGTTTTCTGAACTATTTTTCACTTTTTTTAATCAGTAAGCAGAAAATGGAATACAAAGTAGATTTACTTATAGTTCATGAAAGAACAAGCTATTTTTCGAAAGCAAAATATTTTAAGGTTTACAGGGAAGGCCAATGAATCACCTCCATGCATGCATTTATGATCAGGCAGTTCTAAGGGTTCAAACTAGTCCGTCTGATTCAGAGGATGCCTCCACACAACCCGCTTCCCTGCTCACAGAGTTATTTTTAAGAAGCCAATTTCCAAAACAGTGAAGTGGAATACCCCTTTCTCTATCCTAGGATGCAACCAGGTAAAGAATAGTAATTTGAAATCACTTGTTTCTACTTCAACACACACTTCACTGAGTAACTCATAAGTCATTAAATAATCAGCTGGTTACTGATTCCCATTCCAGAAATGGAAGCACTGATTTTAGAAAGGGATAAAGAGACACCAAAAAAGTCTGTGTTTCCCCATAGCTGTGTAACGTAGAAGGAAAACAGGGATCGAGGCATCCATCCAAGTTACCTTAAGGCAAAATAGGAACTTGTTTCATGATGATAGTTCAAATTACTGACAACACTTAGAAATTTGAAAATGTAACAGCTAATAATTCAGGGGCATATAATATTTCCGTTAACTAACCATTTTCAATAGATATTTTCAGAAGTCTGTATTTTCCATTTCTGGCTTTGGCAAAGATGTCTTTAACACCTTCATTTGCTGTGGAAAAAGATAAAGAAAAACAAACATTTTTATATTTAAAATTTTTTAAAAATTTAATGTGTATGAGTGTATTGTCCGCATGTATGTGAGTGCACCCGTGTCGTGCAATGTCGCAGAAGTCTGAAGAGGGGTTGGATTCCCCTGCAACTGGAGTTAAGGACGGTTCGTAGCGGTCATGTGGGTGCTGGAAACCGAACCCGGGTCCTCCGCAAGAGCAGCCAGTGCTCTCAACCACTGAGCCATGTCTCCAGCCCTTATTTTTATATTTAAAAGTACTTTATTTCGCAGTCTATATGAAGACAAACTTTAAAAATATATAGCATACAGAACCTTAGTACAAAACAAAGGCATAAAATATGGGCATCGAATCCTGCCAAGAAATATTAATACTAGCAATTAAAAAATATGAAAACTTTCCACCTCACCTCAAGAACTCTGTAGCAGAAGAATGAATACACGATCAACCCAGTAATGGACAAACTACGGTTTTGAAAAACACTTATTTCATGTTTGAGATGTTGTAAAGTGCTTTGATTATGTTTTTAGTCCGATTTTAAGTTTGTGATAACTTCCTTTTCTGTATTTGTCCATCAAAAACAACAGTATCGACTCTTACAATTTTTAAAAAGCCAACAAAATGCATCAAATGTTATTTTTATAGTGTTCCTTTTATTTCTCAAGAAGGTACAGTAATCATTGAGCAAATACTCCTTTAACAGCCTACTCCTGCGCATCTTCTGAAACCTGAATTCCTCGTTCGTCCACCACCAGGTCTTGCGTCCAGCTCAAGCTGCACATTCCATAATTACATATTTAAATCTCAGAAGCAGCGCGGACACACACAACCCCGACGCTCACGGATCTGAGCCTGTTTCGCTCGTGTGCGTGAGGGGAACACGCAGCGTCAGAGCCCCTTCCACACAAGCCGGGAGCCAAGTGGTCACCGGGAAACACTCGGCTGACCGGAGTTCACACGGGAACTCCTCCACCGACCCGGGGCATGCTTGGTTCTGATGAGGTCCAAGTTGCCTATTTCCGACCAGGAAATAATGGAGGGGATGACACGCAGTGACCGCACATTCGGGTCTGCGCCGGGATGAGGGGCAACTGCACCGCCGACTTGTTCGCGGCGGGGGACAGACAGACACCCGGGGACCAGCGGAAACACTTCCCGCTCGGAGGGGAAGTCCGGGAGCAGCCCACGGCTGCGGGGTCCGCACGGGTCGCGGAGGACCTGCATCCTGCGAGCGTCTCCGGGCGCGCATAGGCCACGCTAGGCCCCCAGGCCAGGCGCTCGAGCTCCAGAGGCCGGACCGGAGGCGGCGGGCGGCTCCCGGCGCTCTCCCCGCTCTCCCACGGCGGGGTCGGTTACGTGGCGGAGGCCGGACAGGGCCAGAAGCGCGGCAGGTGCCTGCGCAGCGCGAGCCGCCCAGCGCCGTCCCAGTCGGCCCCGCCGCCTGTCGCCTCCTGGGAGCCCCGACCCCGGAGGCGCCGTTACCTTGGATGCCGGTCTGGTGGGACATGGTGGCGGCCGCGGACTCCCGGCTCCAACGCAGGGTGCGGTAGCGGCCCCGGCCGGCGGCTCCAGGAAGTAGCGGCTCGGCCTGCGCGTCATCCGCCGGCGACCCGCCGCCCCGCCTCCTGCACTGCCTGCCCTC